TGTGCACCATATATGACCACTCCTATGCTGTTTTACTATTTCACTGTTTCGAGGTTCCCCCATGGCCCCCCAAGACCAGCAGGGGCCATCAATGTACACAAATTTGTAATTTTTTTGTATTTTGGGTCACTTTAGGAAAAGTCATCAAATTTCAGGTTAAAAGAATGACATGTAGGGTATTTTTACTGCTGTCAAATGACGGTCAATTTTGACCCGAACAGTATTTAAGGGTTAATTGATTATCAAAGTGGTTGCCGATTATCTTCCTCTTGATTGATTAATTACAAGTTTACAAGGTAGATTGCTTTATCATTCTACAACACATACAATGAGATTAAGTTGTAGATGCTACTCACAAAAACAAACATATACAGTAGTTGAATAAAATAGTAAGTCGTAGAAATACATTTCTAAATACATACATCTGTTACATGGTGGAGTGAGGATGAATTAAGGAGCCTAACAGCCTGAGGGAAGAAGCTCCTCTGGTGATATGACAGCAGATACTTCTGTATGCAGCAGGGTGAAGAGGCTGTCTGCAGTGGGTACTGTGTTTTATTATCCTTTGGTTCATTGACTAATTGTTGCAGCTCTAAAATAGAAATATTCCAGATTTCTTGTGTTTAATTTTATTCACATTTTCCCAAAATTCAGCCTGACATATTTGGTATCTTTGGCAGATTTGGGATCTCTGCTAGAATCTTAAACACGTTTCTGTGCATTTAAACAATGTGTGGTTGCACAGCATGAGTTTGTATGACTGACCACCAAAAAGCTGCTGTTTAAATCGCTGCCTGTCCTTTAAAAAATGACAAACACAATCTGTGGCCAATAACACCAGCAATCACCTTGAATAAATGGACATCAAAATCACATGCCTCATGTGGATCATATCTTCATTCAGAACAACCTTTTTTTTTTCCTTTTGTAAAACAGCCGTGTCAGCTGTTTATTCACATTATCAGCAGTTTTCAGTATACGGGTACAGTTGACTATAAAGGTGCAAAATATCTATTGAATTTGAGCCCATCTGCAGAGAGCTAGAGACATGTGTCTTAGCTTTTCTTTTCCACAGAGGCAGGCTATAGTCAGCATACAGGGAAAAGGTCAGATGAGAGGGTCATCTGCCCACACTCGACTTGGACTTTCATTATCTAAACATCTGTTTCATGTTCGTCTCCCTGTGTGTACATAACCATGCACACACGTTTGTGCATCCACGTGTGTGCACAGTCATGTAGAGTTGAAAAGGTTCCTTATTGATTTTCTGCTGACTGCTGGGCAGAACAGAGGAACGCGGGAGAACGGGAAGATGGGAAGACAAGAACAAAGGAAGAAGGAAGGAAGTGAGAGGGAACAGAAGAGACAGGAGAAAGTGTGGCCTTGAGTGTTTTGAATAGAGGTGAGTGGGCCGAGCTTCGGGGAGGGTGTGTGGTCAACTGGAGGCTGTTATTGGCGGAAACACAAAGTCATGTGCAGCTCAGACGGAAACACTCTTAACACACACACACACACATACTCACGCGCAGCACCAACACAGCGCAGACCTAAATACTTGCCAGGACACAGGAGGCAGCGGCAACAATAAAACACACTTGAATTATCAAGTGTTGGTACCAGCTGACACATCACACGCAAACACACATGCCTGACATGAGCGTAAACAAACACAGCTCCCAGTCACAACACGAACTGTTTCCTCAGCTGAGACAAATAGAGGCCCTGACCACGCTGAGACTCTCAGCTACCAACACTTTTCTACTTAGTTGTTCCAGGAACACAACCCTACATTAGAACGTTCTCAAAATGAGTTATGTGACCACAGTAGAGATATTCTTCTTTTCTGTTTCAGTGCTATAGTATGGGACCGGCCGCAGGGCGCTTTCAGAAAGAAAAACACATTTTGGTCCTGATGACATTCAACATGATGCCGATGTAAGAGAGAGAGAGAAAGAGAGAGAGAGAAAAAAGAGAGGGTGCAGGCTAATTTCTCACATTGTCTGGTTTGCATGTTTAGCAAATCAAACGGTAATTTAAAACATTTAATGTGTGCGTTTTATTTTCTTTACCAATTGGAGCCACTAGTACCTTGAACGACTGACCCTGTTATCATTGAAGACTAAATTTTGTCCTGGGTGTCCTGATCAGACTTTGACAGCTTAAAATATACTATAATGTGAGACACCCTGTCAAAACTTTTTGGAGGCGGTCAGTGACACACATACAATACATAGTGTGACAGCAAAGGCAGCCTCGGAGGCATTAGATTACCATCTAATCCCATTTGTGGTTTGCAGATAAACTTTTACAGAGTTGTCGTTTTCTTTTTTTCCCTCGTTCTCATTTCTTTCTTTCAGGACCTCACCCAACAAAACAATAAGATCTATCTATATTGACTACACTGGATCTGTTATGAGCAAGAACCAACTGCTGTAATAACTAAAGAGAGACAAGAGGATCAACTGTTTGACCACAGATAAGTTAACTCAGTGAACATCGGTAATACACTAATTATACATCTACAGTTTGTGCTACTGATTATCTAATAATCACCTATAACCTAGCTGATATCTCATCTCGTCTGTAAATATCAGTATTTATAGATATTCTCCATTAATCAGTCAGAATCTGTCTTTTTCCTGCTTCCTGTTAATTGTGTGTCTCACCGTGAGAGAGGTGAAGGTCAGGCAGATGCCTCCGAATCCGTTCAGAGAGAGAGCCAAGAAAATAAGCGCTGACAGAACTGCAATGAAAAAGATAAACACAGAAGAAGAGTTAAATGACAAGCGAGTGGTGTAGCTGCAGATTACGACCTCCTCGTCTCACCCTCTTGGACCAAGTGTGTAGAAGAAACTAAGGTGGCTGCAAAAAACTATCTATAGCCAGTGTTTGGTTTGGTTTTTCTGGGCTACTGTAGAAACATGGCAGCTCAACAAAGCGGCCTCTGTGGAAGACGACCCACTTCCAAAAACGTCTCATTCTAAGGTAACGAAAACACAACAGTTCTTATTTTCATGTAATAAAACACTAATAAAAACACACCTAATAATATTATATTCCATTTCTGCCAATAGATCCTGCTAAATGTTACACACAGGACCTTTAAAGCCAAGAACTACTCAAGACTGGAGATATCTTCCACCGCATCCACCAAAAGCCTTAAAAGGTTTTTTTTTTAAGTGACTACACAGAACAGAACAGTGTAAAAATAATCCATAATAGATGCAGTTACCCCACTTTTTAACATCTGAATGGTGTAATTATGAATTAATCCACTTTTTACTTGTTTGTAATGGTTTTTTTTGCTGTTTTTTGTTATGTTTCTATGGCAACATTTGTCAGTTCAAGCTAAAAAAAAAAAAAAGACAGATATGGTGATCAAACAGGCACTTTGCCTGAAGCATATTGAGGCCCTTATGAAGTGGAAGCAGCAGCTGGTAAAACAGCTCAATAAAACCGGCTACATGAAATGAAATATGGCATTTTTAGGTAGCGCACATCCATTTCCTGGTGTGCATTCAAAGAAGCTGACTATCGGCTATTGTTCATAACCGGATCCCGATTTTGACTGCATTCTTCTTTCCCATTTTCATTCCCATCTTAAAATTACATGGTTTCCATTGCAGCCAGAGGCGAGATTTGAATTGTTATGTGGACAGAAGGAAGGAATGTGAAGAATGTGGAGTCTGGCTAGTTTTACACCTTTGCACACCTGTCCCACAGCACCTGCTGTAACTGTTCAACCAATAGTTGTCCAGTGGTGAAAGGAGCTTTTAGCTGCTTTTAAACAATTCTACTATTGATACTGTCTATAGAAAGAAATATTGTAATTCTTCCCGAACCAAGTACCTAGTACGCATTGATAAGACTAACCCTTATATAATTGGAACTATAGAGACACAAATGGCACCACTTACTTAGGTTTTACTTAATTCTAGTCAACTAAATAATCAAAACTCTTCGTATTTTAGCTGTCTGCCATGTGTTATATAGTACAGGTACTCTGCAGTCTGCGTTAACATGCAAAATGTCGCTCTACTCGCCATGTAAGTACATCACAACCTCGGGAGATCGTCACATTTAGCAGTTGATTAAGTTGGTTGATTGGTTATCAATTAATGTGTGTTTGTGATTGTACTCACCGTGAGGGTTGTAGGCAGACAAGGCCATTATAACACAGGACAGACCGAAACATGAACTGTAACAAAAGAACAAGGATATTTTAAATTCTGGCATACTATATCATATCTTAGCATGCTGAAAGTCACATGTAGTATTTCCTGCATACATAATTTGTGTTTGCACAAAGAAGTCAAAAAGTAGAGAAACTCCCAGAGGCCCAAGGTTAACTAACTGCTGGTGACTCACCAGTCTCTGTGTTTGTATGTCTGAGTCATACCACTGCCACGTTATTGAGTGAAAGTGTGATTCAAATGAGTTTAGTTGTTTGGTTGGTGAACAATCTTTTCATACATAAATAACAGCAGTCAGGTTACTGGTGATCTGCCAAAGACTCAAACTGTCAGTAGTGTAACAGCCTGTATGTTTAAACATATGCAGCTGCAGATAAACTTCTTGTTCTCTTCTTACTCCAGTTTTATCAACTTTAATCTTACTACAATTGTCACGTGTCTACACTCAAGAATGTCACTACTACTATACACACACTCACACACACTAGTGCCCCACTTACATTCATTGATTCACATGTTGAAAATGAAATCTCCCTCCCTCCCACTTTGGGAATGTGATCTGTCTGCTTTTCTTATCTTCACAATCACCTCAGTAGTAGTAAAAGAAGTGACTACCGTTTACTCCAGATTCTCACTCGCATAAATAAAGGAATAGAGGAAATGTGAAGTAGTCAAACTCAACAATCTATATCTGGTTAGGGCCCGAGCACTGGCAGTGCGAAGGCCCTATTGTAATGCAAGGAATTGTTATTTTTCTGCCTCTTCGACTGCATATTTGGCGGCCAGCAACATGCTCGAAAAGTCATGGAAATTTGCACAAAATTCAATCGTGTAAGGCGGACATGTACGAAAATTGGTACACATGTGTATCGTGATAAAAGAAGCAGAAAAGCCTCTTGGACCAATACCTCAAACTAAACAGGAAGTCGGCCATTTTTGGCGATTTGCACACGTTGTATTTGAAGGAACTCCTCCTAGGGAATTTATCGGATCGACTTCAGATTTGGACACAGCCATTTAAACACATTCACCATTAAAAGTTGTGCTATTTACGTTATTCCGCAAAACACCGTGGATGTGGCGTGGCGTCCCGTGTTGCAACAGCACGCAGCACACCCGAGTTGCGTGGAGTGCGAGGGCCCGTTCATCGCTGTTTGCAGCTTTTATTTTTTTTAAGTGTTTTTGAATTATACTGACCATAAAAAGATGCCTCAATACATCAACCCTGCAGACATGCACGTTCCCTGTCACTATTTTTAGAACCATTACCTGCCCACCAGGCGAATTGGTCGTGGCCCAAATTTGTCCATCAGGATACCGAGCGGCAGGGTGGTGGCACTGAGCAAGAAGGAGCCGATGGTAAAGCCCAGATTCAACATCTCCTCCTGGTCCACGCAGCTGAGCCACTCCACCTCGTCACCGGTGGAGTTGCCCAAACTGATGGCCACAGACTCATTCTCTGCGGGAACGAGTGTGGAGGGTTGATTAGAGAGCGAGTGGAAGAATGTGTATAGAGAAAGCTGAATAATTGGTTTAGAAATGATTCGGAAAAGAAAAGTGTTATTAAGCCTTTCCTTTGCACATTGGATAAAGTTCACAAGAAGGTTCACTAAAATGATTTTATAAGAAAATATTTCATATTTTAAAAGTTATTTAGGGTCCCCATAAACAAATACCTATTCCTTGTGTTTGCCAAAAAGTAATTCAAAGAACAAAACTCCAATAAGAGAAGAAATTAGACTAATTTGGGATTTTTGAATCTTTAGTGCTGCATAAAATGACTATAAACACCAATTACAGGTATAGCGAATATGAAAATCCTCTTTGTGAGTATCAAGGTGATAAAACAATGTTAAGTATGTTTTTGGAGCTGTTAAAGAGAAACAAACCGATAAAACTTTACGATTACGGGATGCGGAGGTGCTGATTTTACCTAGGCACAGGTGGGAGTAGAAGCCTTCCCTCTTCAGCATGATGAGCAGGGAGCCCCAACCCAGCAGCACAGCCGAACACAGCAGGTTCTCAATCACAGCTGTCACCGCCATCCACCAGCGCCTCCTGTAGGCCTGGACGAGAGAGGGCGCCATCGCTGCTGCTCTGTGATGAGGCGGAAGGAGGGACAACGGCAGAGATTAAAATGACTGACAGGTTGCATTAAAGAAACTGGAGGGCAACGACTGAATATCTTTAGGAAAGTGTGATGGTTATATTTCACATTTTACAGACTAAACAATACCACAGAATGTTAAGTTTTCAAACTGGTTACATTAGGGACTTTTTAAGACATTTTTAGGACCATCATTAATGCAATTGAAGGCCTATTTTATGTCCAAAAACTGGCAAAAAAAGAAAAATCTGTATTTGTTCCATGTCAGTATTGTTTTATAGTTGTTACAGGATGATCAATACAATCCTTTCCACTTGTATTACTTCATACATACATACTAAATACAATTTAGACCTGTCAAAATCATATTTAAGACATTTTAAGACTTTTTTTAAAACACCCTGGTATATTACCCTTAGCAAGTTTGGAAAGCCTGTTCCTAGATCAGCATTTATACTCCTAGAAGACAGATGCAAACTAGGACTACAACTAAAAATTACTTTCATTACTGATCAAGTATATTTAACTTACTATTAGAGTAACAAATCAAATATTCACATTTAAGAAGCTGAACCCGGAGACAATTTGCTATTTTTGCTTCAACTATTATTAGATACTCAAACCTTTTGCTGCTTAATTTTCTGTCAATTGACCAATCAGCACAAAACACAAATTATGACACAGTAAAATTACAATGAAACTCAAGCATAAGATGATGTGTGACTACATGACCCCCTTTTAAAAGCTGTCATGATCCATTTTCTCTGTGGGTAAGATGCTCCACATATTGAACCTCAGGACAGAGACCGGCGTCTGTCCACAGTAGGATTTACAAAAGGGCACCATCTCCTTTCACTCAGTGGTATTTTGTTATGTTTACTTCACTGAGGAGACCTGATGGAGCCCCTCGAGACAGGACATTTTTCTCTCAGTTTGCCTAATGAGTGCCCATGTGACCAGTCATTGTTTTATAAATCCCAGCTGGGCACCTGACACCTCATTGTCCTCAGAAATCCTCCCACTGTGCTGTCAGCAGAGCAGCTATTTCACCCTTGATTTTGACCAGAGGAAACAATGCCTTTGTTCTGGAAATTGGGATAGCATCCTAAAAGGGTGAAATTTCCATCTGAAAGCAGCACAGAGTTGGACTGAAGGAGTCTTCCACAGCATGTAACCACTGTTTGGTTTAATGGGTCAAAAGTGAGTGGTGATGCAGCTTTAACAAACACACACAAACAAAAGAAAAACTGAAACTTAAGACATGACTGACACAGTCAGGTTATGACAACCTGGAAGGTACACAAACAAACACACTCATACACACAGAGGACAGGTGACAGATGACAGGTCACTATAACCTGTGACATGAGTGACCAACACACAGAATCCAGTCATGAACTTCCTGACATACACACACGACTGGAAAGCAAGCAAGCAACAAAGATCCAAATATAACCAGCTATTTGGGTTAGGGTTAGGGTTAGGGTGAGTGGGTGAACCAGAGAAGAAGTGGAACAGAGGGAGGAAAGAAGAAGTGGAACAGAGGGAGGAAA